GCTTCCCGTGGAGTCACTCTGCTGCCCTTCGGGGCTCTGTGTAGGATTAAGCCTAATTTTGAAAAGAACACATTAAAATGAAAATAAATAAGGCAATTTTCCCTTATCCCTCCCTCTTAATTTTTCAGGAACTGTCATGAATCTTTTAGTGGAAAGGGTCTAGCAGCAGGCATTGCTGCATTAAGGAAAATGAGGTGTGGAGCTATTTTTAAACACACTGAAATAGCACCAGACAGGTTCCATTTATAGGAACTTGTAGTCTTCTGTACCTAGAAAAGGATAATGATTTCTGTGAAGTAATGATTCTCTCATCATAAACAGGATCCCAAGTGCTGAACCTGGTGCCCTCCCTGATATTTCTATTCATTTGTTTGGACTAACTTCCCCCCCTTCCTTTTTTCTTCCTTTAAGCAAAGACCTAGCAATGATGTTTTACTATCTTTCTTTTTTGTCATCCTCATTATAAGAAAATTAGAAGCTGGGAAAAAAGTCTCTTGTGGCGTTAAAATTGTACTAGCTAATAAAACTACAGGAGCCAGACATGGAGGTTCCCCCTGCCCCAAATAAATCAGCAGTGGAGAGAATTAGGTGGTGAGGGACAGAAGGGCAGTGTTTAATCAGCTTGTGTAGGAAATCATTAGCTGCGCACCCTCATTCCATCACTTGCTCATTCTTCATTCCCAATAGCTGCTTTGCCACCAGATCATTAACATTTTCCAGTGACTTTCTAAATGCAATGAAAAAAAAAGATGGGGAGTTAGTGAAGAATCAGTAGATGCTATGGAAACAAAAGGCTGAAGGTTGTGTCTGTCATTTGTTTGCTTGATTCATTTCCCTTGATTCTTTCTCTCTTGTAGAAGTGCACCTAGTTAAAAGACAAGTGACCTGCAGGCTCAAAGGGTTTCTCTGTCCTCCAACCAAATAAAAAGAGATGAGATTTAATGGTAACATAAACAAGAGTCAGATTTTTCTTAGATTCACTGTATGTTTTCGTTTACAACTTTGTAATTTTCATGGTCTTTTGCACAACCTACCATTGCAATTCAAGCTATGCACAAATGATCAGATATATATATATATATATATATATTTCACTTAAATGGCACCAAAAAAAAAGGGGGGACAGAAGGTGTCACATTTTATTTGCCACAGATGGAGATTCAGGTGAGGCCAAACTAGTGGTGCTTAGCCAGCACTTCCCAGCTCTTTAGAGTCCCACAGCTCAACTGTGTGTCTTCCCTGCATCATCTTCCACTGCTAGCTCTTTATTTGCTATGAATGAAGCTGGCTCAGAGACTTGAGAGATGAAAACTTGGCCTGAGGAGTCAATGTGATTTCTTTCATGGTCTGCAGAGGAGCTGGGGTTTCTGCTCAGAGCTGCTAATCTGCTATTGTCTACTAAATCAGCAGCTATACTTAGTGTGGTGGATTGCAGCCTACTTCTAGACACAGTTGTGGCGAGCGTGGCAAGCGTGGCAACCTGTGTGAATGTGTGTCCTGCCTGTGTGCTGACTTGCAGAGCGCTGGGACAAACCTCCCTGCATTTCCCACCAGTGCCCTTCTGCCACGGCTGCCACAAATTGTAACCCAGGGGTCTCAGATTGCCACAGTCACTGCGGGTTGAAAAGCAAGAGGATTTCTTCAAAGCAAGTTCCAGTGCATTTTCCAAAAAAACGTGTTCAGTACTTTAGAAGATTTCTATTCTTTTATTTTTCTGTAGCTTCCGAGGTAACAATAGAATAAGCAATGTTTCAGGAGTTTTCCTTTTTTGTAGTTTGTTTTGTATTTCATAGGATGATTGGCATAGCTCATAAGTAGATCTGCAGCTTGTAAGAAATAGTCCCAGGTCTAATTCCCTGCTGCTTTCTAGATCCAGTAGCGGTCACTTTGTATGCAGTTAGTGACATCTCTAAGTGGTGATCTGTGCAGGTGCCTCCAGCATGGAGTGTCCTATAGCAGCCTGTAACAGGACAGAAGTATGTGGGAAGGTGTGAGCCATGTATTGATGAAGCCTGTAATAGAGTTGTCTATGAGATACAGTTTTAGACACTTAGCTGACTGAATAGTCATGAGGAGAGAAAGGAACTTGACAGACAGTTTGTATTTCAGGTGAGATTAATTGCATTTGGAGAGGGTATTGATATCAAACTAATAGGGAGTAGTTCCTGAATTAGGTTTTGGCAGGGAGAGAGGGATAGAGCCAGGTTCAAGTCCTACCTTACAGGTAATGCAAAGAAGCTTGTTCTACTTTGAAAATGGAGTAGCCTACCTAACACAAGGTGATTCTTAAAGCAAGATATATGGGGAGTTGATTCAAAGCACCATGTGATATAAATTCCACCAACTTGTTTAAGGGACCTTTAACATGCCATGCCTGGAGAGAAAAAACTAGTAGCAACCCCTTCCTCTAGCAAAAAGGACAGGTGAAGACTTCAAATGGATTGGAGGTGCTTCCCAGAAGCAAGTATACCACTTTGAGGACAAACTTTGGCATATCTGTACAAAGGCATGTTCCTGCTTTTTCTCCTTTTCATCTTCAGAATTCAGAGACTGCTTTATTCAAGCATTAGCTGGCACTCCATCATACTCTGGCTTCTTAAAGTAGAGAGTCTGCAAAACCGAATGTGAAACAAGTAGCCAGACTGATAAGCAGAGAATCCATTTGAAGAAGTAACATCTCATTTGCCAGGGAAAGAAATACAGAAGAGAATGATCAAAATGTGTCTGTATGTTAGCTCTGATGCCATTTTGCTTTTGTGAACTGAAAAATGTGCTTAAAGCAGCAGTAGGTGATGACAGCTCACACCTGATTTTTCTTAGCTGTTTCAAGTAGAGTGCTTCTGTCCTAAAGAACCTCTTGCCTAATTCTCCTTGTCTTGGTCCTTGTGCTGGGGTGGAAGTGTGGAATACTGCAGTAAAAAAGGTCATAAATTACTGTTGTGCTTTTGTGTTATTCTGCAGACACAACCCAGCTTGAGATTTAGCCATGACTTTTATTTTACTCCTCTTGAGCACGGAGAAGCAGAACATAGCTCTTGTGTGTTGCAGTGTATGTGTGACCCTTCCCATGGAGAAGCTGCCAGAATCAGAAGCAAAGGGAGAAGACTGTCTGTTCTGGAGGTATAAGTCCAACTGGTTGGCAAGGCAGTAGGGCAGCGAGGTTGCCCAGATGCTGTACTTTGGAGAGGAGAGAACAATTGCTTGGAATATGTAGGGCTGCACAACAGCAGGGTCATTTGTTTTCTGTTCACACTGTTTAAAGAGAAGAGTAAAAATATGTAAAACGGAAGAGTAAATAATGAGCATGTCTGCTCATTGGTTTTGATCTGGAGGGAGGTTGGTTAGTTGTGGCAGTCAATGAGCAGGCTCCTCTTTCCACTAATGTTTTTCACCTCTCCCCATGTCCACCTGCACAGGTGGCCCCCTTCCCTGCTGCGACTGGCCTGGTGTCCCGTGAGCAGAGAGACAGGCGTAAATGTCCCGAGCTGTGGGACCCCTGGGGTTGGGTTGGGAGTTGTGCGGAGGCCTGCAGAGAAACTGGGCCGTGGTGCCACAGCAGATGCTGCTTGTGGCTCCTGGAAAGTGAAAAGGGGGATGGACATCCATGAGGATCCCTAAGGTAGAGGCGCATAAAACATTTTCTTCGTTAGAGTTTCCTTGCTGGTAATCTGAGGGGAGCTTAGCCAGTGAGTGAAATGGTGAACTGAGAATGTCTGTCAATTCTTACTTACTCTTTACAGCCTCTCACCAACCCTATGAACAAAAAGTTCATTCATATATTGGAAGAATGGGAGGCAACATTAAATTTAAGTATAGTTCCAAAAAATCCTGTATTTCTTCTTTTACTTGTTTCTATGCATGATTCAACAAGCATGTTTGTCAAGGCATGCTGGACTGGTAGAGAACTGTGAAAATAACTGAGGAGTTGCTGTTTATAAAATCAGAGCTGCAGTTTAATCTGTAGAGAAATGGCAGTAGAAAAGGTCTCTACTTAGATACTGTTTGCAACGCAAGTTCTGGTGATTATGTGGGAGTGTGCAGCACATTTGTTTTGTTGTAATTTTCAGGTCATAAAAATCGGGCAGAGAGAGCCCACCTAGTAGATTTTAATGTTGGTATATTGAGCAAGTGGCAAAGGAAGGAAACACTAGTATGTTAGACTAAAGAGCAGGTGGTTAAATTGGCACAGCGAGTTTCAGTCTAGAAGATGTCACAGATGAGAAAACCACAAATGACAGTGCAAGAAGATGCTCTAGAACAAGAGGAGAGCTGATGAGGTGGAGTTCTGCAAGGAGAAATAGCCACGTTGTCACGGATCGGTCAGGAGAGCCGGAGGCGCCTCAGCTCCTCTTGGAGATCCAAATTCAGAGCTCTTGATTAAGACAGTATGTTTAATCCTACCAAGCTTTGCTTAGCAACAGTCATCAAGGCAATTGGTAATTTATTGGGGAAGTCAGAAGAGAGGAGGGTTCCTGGCTGTATGCTGCTCACATAGCTCTGTGTACGACTGGCATGGGGAAATTGAACTGCAGATATCAGGTCTGTGCTGTGCATGGCACTGTGGTTGCTGAAAACGATGAGCTTTAAAAGCCTTAATTCCAGAGGGAGATTGACACGAGGGTTTGGGCGTGCGCTGCAATGATTTCCTTTTAGGCTATTGCTTTAAATTCCGTCCTTGCCATCTGTGTGCAGAACGCGTTAACCTGCAATAGTTCTTTGACCTACTTGAGGTTAATTGGTGGTTTCAGTCCATTCCTCCTTCCATCACTGTTTATATTCAACTGCCACTATTTTTATCCAGTTTCAGACAGTATCTTTGTTGTTATCCTTGCTTGTTTTGATTCCCTTGTTTTACAGAGACATAAAAGTTGCCAACTGGCAATGATACTAGTGGCACCTCAGGTCTAGACTTCAAGTGATAAAGAGCATCCAGGGTTTGCTGCCATGGGGAAATGGGCAAAATAATCCCCTCTGCCTGGGAAAGAATTCTTTCCCCCCAGGTTTCTTGTAAAAGGAGACTCTGATAAACTTGTCGACTACGTCCTGACAGCCAGTCCCCAGGAAGGTGAGCCGGAGCACCCGGGGGCTGGGGTGGTTATTGCTGCTCTTGGCAGTTGCAGTCTGCAGCACCCCAGAGGGTGGTTGTGGAGGGGCCCCTGCTGCTAGACACCAGCAGACTCAAACAGAAGGGCTGTTTCTTCCGTAAGGATCTCACTGCTTATGTGAGACGAGAGAATAGTTGGGTGGAAGAAGAAGAAGAGAGAGGAAATTTGACAATATTAACCAGCAAAATACTCAGGAGTATTCACTAAATAGACTTTACATGTATGTCCATAACATTCTTGTAAGTCTGAGGTGAGTCACAGAGATGCTTGCTTGAAAACCCGGAACCCTTCTGTTGAGGTGGTGTATGCGGGGAAAAATTGACTCCCTAGTCAGTGGGTGAAAGCATCTGATAGTAGAAAGCCA